TATATATATATATATATATATATATAAAACATAAATATAAATAAATAATATTATCTTGAATGTACGGTTTGTAATTTGTAATCTTCTGTCTCCAATTAATATTTAAAAATATAAATTATAAATATTAAAATACGTAAAAAAATAATAATATACTACTAGTAATGGACGCGTAGGTCGGTGAGAAATTTGCAAAATCAAGGGGCCTGTGGCTGCCTGTTATCTTCGAAACCGCGGGAAATCCTTTGCTAGTCTCACTGTCGGTGACTCACAATTAAATCACAGCCCAATTAGATCTCACGTTTTGTCACCAATGACACGCTTAGTTGCTTTTATTTATTTATCTATTTATTTTATATAATTATCGAGATTTAAAAATTGTTAAGTACAATTAGAATAGTTCTCCAATAATATTTTTTTTGCATTTACATCAACTCTAATATGAAAAATTTTGTTTAAATTAAAATAATCCCTTTCACTAGAACCAATACCTATTAGTTCTTTCATTTATTATTTAATTACATTAATAACTAATAAGTTAATTAAATTCATAATTTGGAAGTCAAGGAATAGTATAGCAGCCAGCCATACAGCTTGTAATTTCACTGCCAAAACCTACCCCATGTGCCCTAATAATTGGAAGCATATTTGACCTTTACACTATTGATCAATTCATTATATCATGGTTTTGATTTCTAGTTGATAATTAATTCATTACTAAATCAATAATTTATTAAAGGAAATTTTTTATGTTGTTAATCATTGGGGTGAAGGGGTTATTAAAGTAACAATTAATTATTGTTGTACATATGCATGCAACCATTTTTATATTCTGTAGCAAGAATCTATTGACATTATATGTCATGCTAATTATTTAAATTTGTATGATCGGTTTTTATAAAATTTTCCATAAAAATAATTGAATAACATGTACTTTGTCATGTTTCATTTAGAAAATTTATGATACCAAATAACATATGAAAAATATAGAGAGAAACTACTTAAAGTTATGAATGATATTGCTCATCTCAAATTTCATGTAAATACAGGAGACCAAGTCCAACCATATCATAAAATCAATATAAATATAAATTTTAAAGTCCACAAGGGCTTTGAATTATATGTAATTGCATAAGTTCCAATGACTTATTTAGTTTTGTGAGTGTGGCTGCATATTTATAATAATGCAACTTTGTCGATTAATTTTGACGTGTAAAATTGACCAGATCAATAATTTCAATATTTGAATGAATATAAATAACATCCCTTTTATTTCAAACTAAACACTCCAGCTAGCATTCAAATAATTTGATCTTCTACAGTTTCAAATTAACTTGACCAAATATTTTTTTTTTTTTGCAGTAAGGCCAAAAGCCTACCTCATAATTCTACTTTCTTGTAATTGTAATAGTTTCTTTCCAATACATAATTACAAATTTTTTTTGAGTACATGTTCTGCAAAGCCAATATTACAATATCATAATTTCGTCAAGGCAACTGATTATGCCCTACGAGTTAATGTCTCCACCCAAAAGCCCAAACTGACAACCCCATGTTTCTGGCAAGAAGCCCAAGCCCAATATTGCCATATGTAGTCAAATAAAAATATTAATTTCTAGGGAAAAAAGTGGACAAAAATATCTCTAGCAAAAAAATAAATAATTAGTCAGCAATTTATTTTTTGGTTTTCCCAAGTATTCTCTTATTAGAGAAATTCTTGTTCAAAACATTATCGGACATTAAATATGAACACTTTTCATAACATAAATTCAAATTTTAGTTCATTATGTTATGATGAATTAGTTTCTTTTACTAGTTATAATCTTGTCCATGGCACAATTTATTAAATATCATTGAACCATTATAAACTGTCAGCCCAATTAACAGTGGCCGAATCATACTTTAATTTGTTAAATATCAATGATCATTCAAACATTATATATTGTCAGCCCAATTAACTTTTGAGCCAATAGCCCAATCATACTTTTTAATCTACGGCTCAATGGTGACTGAATCGAATGTGTAAAACTGTGTGTGTTGGGGGGGGGGGGGGAAGGTATTCTGAATTCTCTATACGTTTAAGAATGAAGAATTTTAATAAAGATCTTTTTTTGGCCACTAATAAATATCACGCCAAGAAAAGAAGATGACATCCATGCAAACAAGAAGAGAAAAGAAATCGTTAAATAGTAAGCGAACAATATGAATGGATTAGAATACACACACACACAGCGACAATGTCAAGAAACGTTTAAAAGGGGTTGAAATTTAAACATGAAATACAAGGCTTTGACTAAAGGTGTTCACAAGTTTAGTTTATTTTAATTTTGATGAAAAATTAAATTGAATTGAACCAATCGATTCACAATAGTTTGGACCTATTAACTTTTTTTCTCTAATCGGTTTACTTTAAGTCTTGACCAAGTTTGAATATTTTTAATGAGATATCCTTTATAATTATTAATATATATTTATATTCACTTATAATTTTTAACTATTAATTATTATTGGCAGTGAAAAAATCTCTTGAGCACAAAAGAATATTTTTTAACAATTAATTAGCATATTCAACTATTAAAAATTAATGTATTATCTTTGAAATACTTGATTATAAAATTAAAAAATTATCTTAAACAATTATAAATAATATTTAGCTAATTGTAAATTATTTTTACGAATGATTTACAAACAACTAAACTTGAAAAAGAAAAAAAACTTTGACAAATTTGTAAAAATATATAATAAATATAATAAAATTTGGTTTGATTTGGTTCAAGTTTCTAGAGGCAAAAACATGAGCTAAATCGAACCAATTGATTTTGTAAAATGAAAAATCAAACTAAACCTCATTTATAATAGGTTTTAATTAGTTCATGTCAGTTTGATTTGGTGTAATTAGTTTGAATTGATTTGAATACCCTTAACAAGACTTGCTAATTTAGAGCTTAGACACGACTTTGTGTTGAGCCCAAAACAATAAGAAAAAAGCCCAAAAACAAAAGCCATGTGACCATTTAAGACTAAATAGATGCTCAATTAGTTATCAATTTGGGCTTGTTTGGATTAACGTTGGTCTAAAGTCCAAACTAAGGTTTGAAGGATTGAAAGTAGAATTGCTAATTCATGTCAAGACAAGCTAGCCTAAAAAATTTTAGGACTCAATTTATAGTTTTTTTTTATTAGCCTAAATATGCCCGAATACCCAATTTATTTTATTATTAATAAATTTTTTTGGCCAATCAATGAAATAAAATAAAAATAAGATCAAACTTGAAAATCTTAATTTTTTTAAATAAAAATTGAAATTGATTTAAAAATAAAAAATAATATTCAACAATTTAAGTGTTCGAGCCAGTTTAAATAAACCTGACTCAAATTGAACCTGGCTTAATAAGTCTGGCTCGCCAAAATTCTTAGCTTTAGCCCAAAGGTTTGGATATATATATATATATATATATATATAAAATGTTTGAATTATTTGTTTACTAACTATATCTTAGCTTGGATTATAAGTGATTTGTATCAGCACTAACCTATAGTTTGCAATAACTCCAATATCTACATGCACACTATTTTCTTTACTATGTATATTGCAGAACATACGGATACAGATCGAAGGGTTTTGCATCCACTTCTTTATGTATCAATTACCTTCTCTTGTATTACTATTGAAACATTTCATGGAATTGAAGGGAAATGGAAGATCATGGAAACTTGATCATAATCTGTTTTAAATCACACACACACATCTTCAACAAGTTATGCTTCTTCCTTCAATGCAAAAATTGTTAAAGCAATTAATCAAAGGCACCTTCGAATGGGAGAAGTGGCAAGTTCAAGCCGAGATCGGTTCAGGTAAATTTTCTATGAAAAAGCGTAGGATGTGTGTGTAAAAATAAAAGAAGAATGATAGAGAAGCCTAAAAAGATCAATTAATTTGATCTCAAATATTAAATTTTAAAAATTTATAACTCAATCTTTCAATTTTAAAACTTTATTGTGATGAATTTATAATTTATATTTTAAATAAAAAAATAATTAATTTTTTATTTTTCAACCGTGTTAAAATTTAAAAAATAAATTACAGATTTATCACAATACAAATATAAAATTAAAAGAATGAGTTATAAATTTTTAAAATTTTAACATTTAAAATTTAACTTAAATTAATTAATCTTTTTAAAAACTCTTTGTCATTTCTCTCAAAAATAAATGGTGAAGGAGTATCTTACTACCATAAAAGAATTCATGTTATTAATTATCGCACTCAATCTGCTTTTCGATTACATAAATAACTTCTTAATAACTATTTGTTATTTATATAGAAGTAAGATTTGTAACAGCTAATTAAATCTTTTCCTCCAAAATTTTATTAAATCTTACCAAACATAACCAGCTCTTAAAAAAAATTCATATTCCTATTCTCATACAAATATAATGTTTTCTTTTTTTATCTTAATCACAATTATGTATTAATGTACTCCATGATAAATTTAAGATAAATTTATACAAAGATTTAGATTAATAAATATAAGAAGTAAAATGAAGAAATTATTTTGTAAAATTATTTTAAAATTCTGCTAAACACAATTAATTGTTTTCAGTTTATTAACAACTGAAATTAGGAGAGTAATGTGCTTTCATTTCCCTACGCTCAATTGTGAATAAATTTGAAAATAATTGTAAATAAATTTGAAAGTAATTAATTATATTGAATAAAACTAACATAATTCTCCTAATTTTTTAGGATTATTAAAGTGCTTATATTTTAAAGCAAGGTTAGTGAAAAAAAATCCTCATATTTTGGACCAGAAAAAATTTGTCCCAGAAGATGCAGTAATATTTTAAATTTTTAGGAGCCTTTGGTATTAATTAATTTCAGCCACTATCATTTGTCATCATGCAAGTTCTGTAAAACTTAAAAAAAGGGGGAAAATAAACTGGTATACATATACATATATATATATATATATATATGGAAGAAATTCATGAAGATAAATAAATAATACGAAATGCACATGCTATGTATTATTCATGAAAATAAAGGGGCCAAGAAGCAGAAAATTATTTGGACGAGCCTTAAGCAACACAGATTCATTAATATAATCATGTGCCGATTAACCTAATAATACAGAAGAAGCCGGCCGGCGAGAGAGAGAGAGAGATCAAGGTCGGCAAGAAGCACAGGAGCAAGCGGCGGCGCATCGGCAGGCGGTGCCGGCGGCGACGGTGCTGGGGCAGGAGCAAGGGTTGCAGCCGCAGTGCTCTCCGCACGAACATGTCAAGTGATCCCTTCCACTGCTCGTCTCATTTCCCCCACCGCCACTTGTACACCTGCATCCTCATGTAACATATTTTCAAACAGTTAGTGCTGCTTTAAATTAATTTTTATCCACTTAATTTGATTATTATACAAATAATTTTTAACTATTTTTCTTTTCGAAGGCACACACGAGAACCTTCAAGATAAAGTTTAGTGACGTCAGTCCTTGCTGATGGGTTTGGTTTCAGTGCTTGTTACGGTGACTTGTGGTGAGATCTAAACTATTCAAAATTGATTTTGACGGATCACATTTTAAATTTTTAATCTGTAATTTTTCATATAAAAATTATTATTTGTTAGAGTAATGGCTACAAATAAATAAGATTGTCGTTATTTTAAATGCTATACCTATTAATAATTTAATAAAAAATAAAAATAAACGTAATTAATGTAAGAACCTTGAAGTGAAAGAAGTAGAGGAGGGATAAAACCTGCAAGTGTTGCCACCTGGGCAAGGAACGGTGCAGCCACACCTGTCGTTGCAAACGGCGACGTTTGGTCTCGTATCCGCCATTTTTGCTTCTTCTTTCTTCCTCTTCTTCTTCTCTTTGATTATGAGAAATACAAGTCATGCGTGTAGTACTTATAGGGAGGATTGAAGAGGTGTGTGATTGTGAAGTGCCATGTGGCAGGATCATGCATTACGTGGCAAATTGCTTGTCATGCCAACCTCCACGTCACACTCTTTCACGTACCATCAACAAAAGACAAACCCTAATTTCCATGTTTTCTTTATAATTATTATTGTTGTTATTTATCATTATTCTAAATTTCTAACTACTCATTCCAGAATTTACGCAACCAAGCTTATCCTCTTGATGACGTCCCATCATCAATAAAATCGGAACTCTCTGGATCTCAATCACGACTGCTAGAGCATTCTACTTAAAACCGATCTGAAAACATGATTTTATTGTATGATGATCTTATTCACATATATATACATATATATTGTTGGAAAAATGTAACTGTTGCTCCTGTGTTTTTGGTGTAAAACCATATACTTTTATTTTATTGTTCTAATTCTATTAAGTTTTTTATGTGTTTGCAATGTTAACTTTTATTATTAGTGGCGGAGTTATACATACTGATGTGTATATAATTCTGTTTGATTTTACTGGGAATTTGATGAAATTATAATGGGTTTGACATTGTATGAACAAAATGGGAATTAATTTTTTTGCCCATCAGCCATAGTTGCTCGTTCTCTTTTTCTTAAGCTTCATCTATTACACATTGAAAGGTTCTAATTTAATGTCTTACTTTTTTTTTTTTTTTGTCTTCTCCTCATTTTTTATACAACTTAATTTTTTCAAGTTAGTATAAAAAGTAACAGAGTTTATGCACACGTTAATCACTCTTAAATCTTTATAGTCACATTTAAAAATATAAGGATTAACAGTAGATAAATAAAATTTAATGGACTTAAAACAACAAAATAAAAGTATAGCGATGAAAAGTTTGTTCGATCTATTTGAAATGAACAAATTTCATTTGTCGTAACTTATAGTGATAATGATTATATAATATTTTTTTCTTTTATTAAAAATAATAATTAGCATGTAAAAAATATTATAAGCAACAGGTAGAAGTTATAAGTTAAAAAAAAAAAAATTGTTGCTTATCATATGTCAGGCAACAGGTGAAATTTGTAACCAAATAATACTTATAACAACTATCAAAACTTGTAACGAAACTAGCAATATGAGAAAATTGTTGTCTTAGAACACTTTATTTAGTGCTATAAAGTATTGCTGTAAAAGTTAAATACAACGTGAGAAAATTGTTCCTATCAAATAGCAACAGGTAATAACTATTGCCGATTTTTAAACCCCAAAATTATTGCTTGTAGGCTAACAATATGCAACAGTTTTTGCCTAAAGTTGTAAAACATCATTGTTTTAGACTTTAGGTAACAATCATTTAAACTATAGTCAAAAACTATTGCCTATTCTTACAAACAACAGTTTCCCCTTCCTGCAACAACTTTTACCTATTGTCATAAATAAAACAGTGAGTTTAAAGAATAATTTTATGAGAATGCATTCAACTATTTCTCAATAGTTATATAAATTGTTGGATCCAAATATAAGGAATAAAAAGTTAGATTCTTTGTATCTTATACTCCATCTTCAAGTGAATTGAAAATGTCTATAATGTTATGTATAAATGGGACATTCACTAGTTGAAAAAAAATCATGTACACTCACTAAATCAAAATATGCAGTTATGTACCATGAAACTTCATTGCCTCAATCATGAAACTATCATTTAGAGCTAAGGGTCAAGTAAACCTTACATTTGACATTACATTAAATATTACTAATCATAACTAGAAAAAAAGAAATAAATGCATATAAAATATTAGAGATTCATTCTCGTTGTTTATCTTCAGATTTTATATTTTTAAGAAAATGCAGCCACTAAAATTTAACAGTTAAAAACTTACAAAAATAATAGGAAAGAAATTCAGTTGGAAGGAATCAATTAGTTAAATCGGTAGATTTCTATATTTTGGATCTTCTCTTACTGTTTTTCTCTCGTTACTCGCCCTAACTTTCTGATCTGACATGGTGTTTTATATGTATTAGTTATATTGTTTTTATATTACTATGAAATATGGCCTGATATAATTTTATAGTTCATGTTGATGATCATACAAAAATTGTTAAATACATATGGTTCCTCTCTTAATCAACAAATCGGTTCATTAGTGGATTGATTGGTTGAAATAAAAAAAATAAATAAAGGAAAACGCAAATGAAGATATATACATGTGTAAATGGATTTGATTAAAAACAAAAGATACAACGTTAAACAATGAACCTTATCGACTACAAGAATTATACAACACCATTATATTCCATCATTAACTAAATTTTTAAAAATATTATTAATTAAAAAATTTTGTTTAACAACTTTCATCAATATTCTCTTTAATTTTCTTCTACTCTTCTTTACACTTCCATTTAACCCCAGTAACAAGCTACACCAAAGTGTGGAACGATTAGTTTATAAGGCCTGCCATGGTATAACCATCTATCACAGATGCCGCTTTTCATATGGGATGAAAGTGCAAACCAATAGCCACAAAAGTAGGAGTAAATGACACTAATAATAATATTTGTTTCTGACGAAGTAGAGATCCAGAAACGAGCACGAATATTGAAGGAATAGCAATGAAAGCAACAATAAAATACAGAAATTACGATCAACAAGGCAGGGATCATCAAAATACCAATCCATCCATTGTAAAGACAGTTTTACATATTAGTTATCCAGTTACAAAAGCAACTTCATAGTCATTCGTTCTCACGTCTCTAAAATTGCAGCCATATCTTAATTTATGTTAATCACCAGGGACTCCCAAGCCCACATTTCTCCAGTTCTCTCTAAAATTACAGTCATGATAAAATATTAATTTATTTAGTTTTCAGAGACTCCCCCAGCCCACACTTGTCATCAAAGGATTGTCATTCAACCAATATCAATGCTAATATTCATACAATACTCTTTACTTGTTTAGATTTCCCAGACTTGAAATTTATCTGCTGAAGGCTTTTTATTCAACCAATACCAATAACGACATTCATAGAATACTCTATACTTACTAGGATTTCTCAAACTTAATCAATCACTTTTCCACACCGGTCATTCTTGCTAACTTCTCCGTACAACATTAAATCAAAATAAACAAATATTGCCGCTGGAATTTTTTTTTCAACAAACTTCCAGGTATCTGTACACGAGCAGGAATAACACTCGCCAGAAAATATACTTTCTCAATTTTCGATCGAGCTTGGTATATTTTTCGCAAATTAACTCTTTCCTTTTGGGAGAAACAAATTAACATTTTTAGCAGGCTTAAATAAACGCTTTTTTTTTTAACTTGGGTTAAAATAATGTGTGTAAACTAAACGATGTCTATTCGATCATTCACAGCACAATCATAAAATTTAAAATCTAGTCAGTTATCAACTAGACGTACATAAAACTGGGACACAATAAGTAGCAGTAAAGCAATCATAATCATAACAATCATAATTGTTCCGACACTAGAAAACCATAATATTTCAATGTCCACTGGTAAACCTGGTGGGCCAAAAAAAAAAAAAAAAGGAGCAAACCCCAGAAACATAGAACATTGTTCCTAATTGCTGGAGTGTATAATTTTCCACTGGAGTTTTTATGCTTTGCTGTCGATGCTCATAGGTTCAGCATCTTTGTCTGCTGGCTTCTGCAACATTTACAAATGCACAGCATTAATTAGATGTGTCTAATAAGTAGCAAAAATAAAAATCACTTCCCCTAACCCAAGAGGAAAACAAGCTCATGTTTCACTTTAAACTCTAGTCCTCCATAAAAATTCTGACTTGCTCTTTAAATATTAATAGCATCATTAAGCACCATTTTCCTTTTGATTGAATTGTGATTTGTGAATGAAATGACATTTTCTTATGAATAAATAAATAAATTGCCTTTTCTCAAATCCAAACACACCCAGAGGACAATAAAACTAAACATCAGAAGAAAGAAGCAGAAGAGCTAATGGTGCTCACATTACTGCCATCTGACTCCACCTTAGTCATCTTGGCAAACATATTTCCATAAAATTTAGCTTCCTTTCTGTTGTACTCCTTCATCCTTTCCTTCAAGGTCTTGTACTCCAGCTTCACATCCCTAGTTTTAAACACCAAGAAGACGCCAGAATTTTACTCCCAAAAATACGGTTATAAGGAACTGCATGATCCCTCTTAGAAAAGGATAAAGTTAAGTAACTTCGACATTAAAAGCAATTATAGTGAATAGTGTACCTGTTATCAGGGTCAATCTCCAGAGCTTTCTTTATATCAAATTCAGCCAAATCCAAGTCAGCCAGCTCGATGTAGGCCTGGGCTCTTCTATAAAGTGCCTTCACGTTTCTACTTTCAAGGTCCAGAACCTACTTCCACCAAATTCAGAGGTTGTAATTTAGTGAAGTATCAACCAAAAAGAAAAACGGAGAGACCTAACAAGACCGCAGAAATACCTTAGTACACAATCTCTCGGCTTCTTTGTAATCTTTCAATTTCAACTTGCAAGCCGCATTGTTCAGATTGCATGCGACCTTTAGTGCCTTGGCCTGCTTCTTTTCCTCTTCACTGAAGGCGGAATCATACTCTACGTACTTTACAGCCTGCCATAAGGTTTCAGTGCCATAAATAATTCAGATGTCTACAAAATGGCATCAAAAAGTGTACAAGTAATGTTTTATTAGATTACCTTCTCATATCTTTTAGAAGCTTTTGCATATTTTCCACTCTTAAACAACGCATTTCCTTCTTCTTTCTTCTTACCCGCACCCTCAACCTTCTCCTGAGTGTTCATATCCCAGGACTCCTTCTCCTGCATAAGAGAATAGAAGATGTTAATAATTCCCATTAGAGAGGAGGATGCACAAACTGACAGAAGACGGCTATAAAAGAACATTAGACTATTAAGATTGTCAGTGGCAGATTTTTTTTAAGCTAACAAGCAGCAGGATTTTATCCAAGAACAATTGTGTCAGAAATAGAAAATTTCAATACTGACAACTCAGTTATGAAAATTAAAGGAAGGACTCTAAGTCCCCTAAATAACAAGCATGAAACCAGAGCCTAAATATATTTCCCAGTCCAATTTTCAAAATGCTTCATTTTGCGTAGGCTGTGCCAGACAATAAATTAGACATTCATGAATGCCATGATACTTTAATTTTGGAATATGTGAATTGCAGGTACCTACTAAAGGAACTTGATTATCGCTCTTTAAACATAAGAGTGGCTCTCACGTATAAAAATTCCGAATTTCATATCTGTATACATATAGAATCCCTACCAAGCCATAAATATCACCACCTATTTCTCTAATTCTGTGGGACAAAAGGCCCCACCAGTTAAAAAGTAAGAAGATTCAATGCACAGCTAAAAAATTTCAATCTAACTTGTCTAACTCACCTTCACAAATGATACTAGTTCAACTTCATAGTAAACAGTTGAGTTGGGAGGAACAACAGCCAATTCTTGCTTAGCCTCTGATGATCCAAAGGCATACTCAGGTGCAACAGTCAACAATGCTACTTCACCCTTTTTCATAGTCAACACTGCTCTATCAAGCCCATCGATAACTTGCTCTGTTCACCACATCAAATAACTTAATTTAGTCGCACAACAAAAAAAAATTAAGGGAAATGGAACAAAACACTAGGATATTTCACTTACCTTCATCTGTTTTGAATTCAAACAGCTCTTCATCATGACCCTTCTTAAAGAACACAGTACCATCTTGCAGTTTACCAATCAATTTCACTGTGCACACATAGAATGACCAACACTGTCAGGAATTGCACATTAAAGAAAGAAAAAAAAAAAATTCTTAACCAGCACTCACATTTCACAACAGCTCCCTCATTTGGACGCTCATATCCTTCCCCTTCACTGAGGATTTTCTTAATGACCTTCTTATCATTAGTTACTTCTGAAACAGTCTTCCAAGATACCAATTCAAGAGTTATCTGCAAGGTTGCATTAGGTGGAACTGCACCTTCATCACCATGTGCTGCCTTACCCTTCTCACCAAAACCATCTACAACAAAATCAAATGAATTAATAAATCATATTTACGCTTTTGAGAAAAAAACAAAGAGAATGTAAAAAATTTTAGCCCCGTGGCTGAAGAATTCCGTAGAGAACTTACACTGCGGCTTCACAGTTAAAAGCACTTTCTCTCCCTTTTTCATGGTTTTCACAGCCTTTGACAACGCAGGACAGAAGTAACCTAGTTCAAGATAAACATTAATCTCAAATTATCAGCATAAGAAAGTTTGAGAGAAAGCAACAGTAAACACGCACGCAAGCACGCACACTAACCATCTTTCACTGTAAACTCCACTCCATCAGATTTTGATACAAGCGTTCCATCTTCAAGACGAGCTTCATATTTAACTGCATCATTCATGGGCAGAGAACACGGCCTGAACTCAGAACTCAATCAGCATACACAACAAACGAAGCTGGAAAACAATATATATACATACCTAAAACTTCATCAGGATCTTTGGGGTTCTCCCATTTCTCTCCTTCAGTAAGTATTTTCTTAAATATGCCGCCATCCTTACATATATCCTTCACACTCGTCCAAGACAGAAGCTCAACATCAAATTGCAGAGTAGCATTAGGAGGAATCGTTGGAGGTGAACCGGATTCGCCATATGCTAGTTCAGGAGGGATGGTGAAAATGGCATTTTCACCTTTCTTCATGGTTTTAATACCCTGATCCCACCCTTTAATTACTTGCCCTGCAGTTCCACGATGTCAACTTCAAACCCATTCCATAAATGACAGCCTATGTTGTTAATACATTATAGGTCCATCTAACAAACTTTAAATTTATATTCCCTCATATGAACCAAATACCTAACTTACATTCAGGAGTTTGAAGGGGTTTGGTATTTCGCATTCTATTGAAACATGAACTGAGGAAAGTTCACAATAGACAAAGAGAACTGTGTAACAGAACTCCTAAAATAAATAAACGCCAGATAAATCCTGATTACTAAACGTTTTCCATTCTAAGGATTGCAAAGAAAATTTTCCAGTTCAATAATAACAATGCATACATTTTCTCGCCACGCGCACACAGCTTCACGCCAGAGTTTTACGCTTTATATGAAATTATTCCCAGAAGCAGACAATCAATACTAAAGATTATACAACGTAAAATTCACTTTTCGATCTCATAAAATATAGAATGTGAACTCAATTGGATAGTCACAATGAATTCAACTCGGTATAATCAATTGAATTTGAATTGTCAGTCAACTTAAAATTCATCACTTTCTAATTGACACACAATGTTCCAGGTACATCAGATCCTACAGCTTTCATCACGACTATTGTAAAAGTCAATGCAGCACTCACCTTGCCCGAGCGTAAACTTGAAGGGCGTTCCCCTGTCGCGGCTCGAATCAAACTTAGTCCCATCAAGCAGCGTTCCCGTGTAGTGAACTATCAGCAAAACAAAACAAGAAAATAAGAACAAAGCCAGAATGCGAGTAACCAAGCATATCATTTACACAACAGAAATGAAATTGAATACCTTCAACTTCATCGCCCACTTCAGGTGTCTCCCAGCCTTCACCATCCTTGAGGAGCTTCTTCTTCAACCCCTGCTGGCCGATCTCCTTCTCCTCTCCAACCTTAAGGCCGGTACCGTCGTCGGGGAGATCAAAGTCCTCGTTCATCTCCTCCGGCGGCGGCATATCAAAATCCTCATCCATCTGTGGCGTAAGATTCTAGGAACGAAGATTCGAGAAGACAGATACAGAGACAGAGACCAAAACCTAAGACTTGAAACAAAGTGAACGAAAGTAGCGAGGCCTTTAAAGCAAGGAGGGCCAGGAGAGTGAAGCGGGTTCTAGAGACTTCTACCGGGGAAGGGTTTAGAGCCGAGAAAGTAGCACAAGAGTTGAGAACGAAGGGTCAAGATGGTTCCAGAGAGAGCAATTTTTTATTATTTTTTATTTTATTTTATTTTTCAAACGAAGACTACGACGAGGACTCGGGAGACACTGCGTGTGGTTTAGGCACACATGGATAGCGTAGGGACGCGTTTAAATGGGAAAATTAGAGCATAGATCTTGTGGGGATTACTTATTTATAAACAAATCTTACAAAATTTAAAAATTTCAAAAAGATCCCTCAAGACCTAAGTATATGAAATTATGGTGCAAAAATAACACTACCTTTACTTTTAATACATGATCAATTTAATTATTAAATAAATAAAATTATAATTATAAAAAATTGAAGTAATAAATATAAATTACTGATGAAGTAGTTGTAAATAATTATTGTTAAATTTTATTGATAATGTATAATTAGTTTAATTATTAAATATGTGAAGTTATAATTACAAAATATTAAAATGGTAGTTATAAATTACTGAAAATATAATTGTAAACAATTAGTGTTAAATTTTGTTAATAATGCATAATCAATTTAACTATTAGATATGTAAAATTATAGTTATAGAATGTTAAAATGATAGTTGTAAATTACTTATAAGATGGTTGTATATGATTAATATTAAACTTGTAACACATGATCAATTTAATGGTGGATACATAAAGTTATAATTATAAAAAATTAAAGTAATAATTTTAAATTGTTAACAAAGTAATTGTAAATTTTTTAATTGATATAATATATTTTTAATAAAAGTATCATTGGTTAGGGGAAGAAATCATTGAGTTCCAAATTTAAACAGAATATACAAGGCTAGGAGCTAGTAATTTAGAGCTCAGACTGGACTTTGCATTGAGTTCAAAACAAAAAGGAAAAAGCAAAAAAAAAAAAAAAGAAGAAACATATGGCCATTTAGGACTAATAATAGATATTATTAGTTTATTAGTTAGTCCCTATTTTGAGCTTGTTTGGATTAGCATTAGTCCAAAGTCCAAACTAAGGTTTGAAGGGCCAAAAGTGGAACAAGTAATTTAGGTTAAGACATGCTAGCCTAAAAAATTTAAGGGCCTAGTTTAGAATTTTAAAAAATCAAATAAGTTTGAATACCCAAATTTTTTTATTATTAATAAATTTTGTTTGGCCAATTAATAAAATAAAATAAAAATAAGATCAAAATTGAAAATCTTAACTTTTTAAGATAAAAATTAAAATTAACTAAAAAATAAAATAATATTTAATAATTTAAGTATTCCAACCACCCCAAATAAACTTGAAAACTTGGCGTTAAAGTCAGGTTTAGCTATATGAGGCTTTTTATATATTTGTGTATTTTAAATTTTTTCAAATTAAATCTAACTCAAATAAGCTTGCGTCCAAAATTACTGGCTCTAATCTAAAGGTTAAGATATATATATATACACACACACATAAAAATACTATGTTTGAATTGCTTGTTCACTCATTGTATCTTAAGCGATTTGTATCAGCTCTAACCTAAAGTTTAGTTTGCAATAACTCCAATATCTACATGCGCACTATTTTCTTTACTAGGTACATTGTGGAGCATGCAGATACAAATTAAAGAGTTTTGGATGCACTTTTTTATGTATTAATTGCCTTCTCTTGGATTAATATTAAAACATTTCATGGAATTGAAGGGAAATGAAAGATCATGGAAACATGAACATAATCAGTTTCAAATCCCCCCCCCCCAACACACACATATCGTCACATAAAAGAGAGACAAGCTTCAACAAGTTAAGACTTCTTCCTTCAATGCAAAAATTGTTAAAGCAATTAATCAAAGGCACTTTCGGATGGGAGAGATGGCAAGTTCAAATCGAGATAGGTTCAGGTAAATTCCCTATGAAAAAGTGTAGGATGTGTGAGTGTAAAAATAAATGGTGAAGGAGGATCTTACTATCATAAAAGAATTCATTTTATTAATCATCGCAATCAATTTTCACTTTTTAATTGCATAAATAACTTTTTAATAACTAAATACTTTTTAATTTATATAAAAGTAAGATTTGCAACGAGAATAATTAAATCTTTTCCTCCAAAATTTTATTAAATCTTTGGCCCAAAAGATAAGTAGCTTTTAGAAACAATCCATATACCAAAAAGTCCTATTCTTATAAAAACAAAATGCTTTCTATTTTTATCTTAATCTCAATTATTAATATACTTCATGATAAATTTGAGACACAAGAATCTAGATTAATAAATATGAGGGGTAAAATGGAGAATTTTTTTGTGAAGTTACTTTAAAGTTTTACTTAACACAATTAATTACTTCTAGTTCATTGACAACAAAGTTTAAGAGAGTAACTAACACAATGTGTTGTCATTTTTCCTAAGCTCAATTGTTATTGAATCTTAAAGTAATTAATTATATTGAGTAAACTAAAATGCAAGGGGCGTGCCATAGTGCGTTAGTCACATGATGCGGTGTACCTCCTATATACTACACTCATGATATTTTTTACTTTTAATGCGAATGCTTTAATTTAAATTGGTATTCCATATTTCAATAGTCATATTTTACTCTAACTTGAGTTTATCAAATGAGCTTAAAGTATTTTAAAAGTTTTGAAAACTTGAAATCTCATTTATATGATTTTACAAATTTGTTAATCTTTTTAGGTTAATCCCATGATTACCTTAGTTTTAAAGCTAAGTATGGATTAGTAAGGTCAACTTTACAATATTTAGCATTAAATTCACTCCACATTTGTACTTATTCCTAATGATTATTAAGCTTTGCATGTCAAAATCCAAGTCTCCCATTTTTTCTTTATGCACTCGTCATCCCATGGTACAAAATAGATACATCTCCTTTCACTAGTAGACCCCTAAAGGAACCACCCAAAATATTTACCAATCTCCTCACAAGTGCTTATTGAAAGAGAGGTAGTCTGCATATAGTACATAGGATGGCACTTAATATAGTTTGCATCAAGTGAAATAAAATTGGCCCTCCTATAGGAGAGTCTTTGCTTCATCTTGTCAACCACATATTGGTAAGTATTTTTGGTCACTCGGTCATGATGAAGAGGTGTACTAGGATACTTTTGTAGATCTGTTGTACGATTAAACCCAAGCAAATCACTACGCTATTGAGCTCTAGTATTGTTCATATTTTTAAAGAAAAATACCCTCATTTTTTAATCAACCTCTTGCTTACTACCTACAGACTAATGATTTTTGTGAGTTAACTAATATGAAGATCAAGAGTATTTTTAGAAAAACTATGGGTCTTTTTAGAAAGGATTGGTTTGATAAACTTGATAATGCTCTAAGAGCTTATAAAACATCTTTCTGAACTTCAATTGGAATGCCACCATATCATTGAGTCTTTAGGAAGGCATATCATTTACCTTTTAATTTAAAGTACAAAGCATGGTAGGCGATCAAGCAATTAAATTTAAATTTTTCTTCCTTGTTTTTTTTATTCGATTTTTTATTTTTGTTTGAGCTTTTGTTTTGGTTTTGAGACACACTTTTGGCAACATAGAATGGGGAATCGCTAAGTAAATAAAGTCATGTTTTAATCAGGAATCTATTATATACTCACCTCATGGTCATTGATGGATTCTAAACCTAACAAAATTAAGAAAGTTGTTTTTTATTATAAGCTAAAAAATAATTATCCGCAGAGAGAGAAGTTTTATTATTTAAGCTAAATTGATCAAATTTAAACTATAAAATTAGTATTTATCAATTAAATAATTATTTTATATAATAACTATTATTTTATTTTGTTCATTATTTTTGAAAGAATGTCTTATAGTTGCACAAAAATTAAAATTAATTTATGGCCAAAAATTAGAATTAATTAAAACAAATTACTTAACAATTTGAGGCAAATAAAAATCCTATAAACTTAATAATGCATTTTAATAACTCAAAATTTGAATCAATTATAATGAATATTTTATTTACATTTAAAACTTTATGTTGTATTTAAAAAAAAACTTATTGCATATCCTTCTAAATTTAAATATAAATAATAAAAATGAATTTTAAAAATTTAAAATGAATATTAAAAATTTTTAATGTGTAAACATATATCTCATTTTAAATTAGTTTACTAATAAAACTTGTGATATCAACTTAAGTGAATTTTAAATTATACTTTTTTAAATATATTATTTTTTATCAAAATTTTTAGAGATATCAACATCTTTAATGTATAGTAATTTCATTTAAGTAGATAACTAATTTGTTAATGATAAAAGTTATCAACATAATTTGATATTTAAAAATTTTACTATGAAATTATAATTTGACTAGTTGTACATATGATAGTATCAAAGTATAAATAAAATTTATTTGATGGTATCAGAATCTAAATGAAGTATATGTACTAATACCAGAGCCTAACGAACACATACAAGTTAAGAAGTATATATTTTACATTTAGTATAAATAAAAATTTTAAATTGAAAAGAAGAATGATTATATCTGACGACGATGACAACATCATGAAGATGAAGAAAAAGAGATAGCCAACCACAAAGAACCAAAAGCAATGATAGCGCCCATGAATGAACAGATCTAACAACAAAACATATAGTGATAGTAACAGATACATAATGACAATTGATTCTTAAACAGAAGAGGGAGTTTACCATGCATCAAAAAGAAGAAGCAAAACTCAAATAGCTTTTTGATTTGGCGGGCATGTATAAGATAGAAGGGAGAGAGTAACAAGAAATTAAAACCCATTTAATGCAAATTGATCCCACCAATGACTTGATGTGATAAACTAATTTTGTTTACCTTAGTCACAATATGACTTTTTCTTAAAGGCAGTAATTTAAGCAAAGCTAAAAAACAAAAATTAGGCCAAATTTAGTAAAATGATGCTTTTTAAAATGTTGGCTAAAAATATTTAAGCCATGGCCAATTCCAAATACTTGAACAAAAAAATTATTTTAAAAAAAATTAAAAATATATTAAATATTAGTTAATCCTTTAAGTTTTAGGTCATTCTATACAAAGAAACCATATATTTGATTACATTATTATAAATATATTCTTAAAAAATTAAAATTAAGAATATTTACATTGTTATAATTTTATTATTTTTCATCTATAAAATATCTCAAAATAATGTTAAAATGTATTTTAATCTTGATTTTTAAACTTTAGGACCCACAATTTTTTTAAATGTTAGTCTTTTGCATTTTTTAAGTTTCCCAAAAGTTTTTTTAAATTTTTTGATAAAATAAAATTAATTAATTTCAAATTTAAAATTAATTTTTTTTAAAAAATTAACAATTAGAGTATTCGGGTTGGCTTGAAAAAACTTGAAGCCCAACGTTTTAAACAACGGATTGGACAATAAACTAGAGAAGTCAGTGGATCACAATTCTCATAATTTAACGGTTGTTGAAAAGTGACATAATAATTAAATAAATAATATTTATATATATATATAAATATATATATATAATATACATTAAAAAATACTAACAATATCATTCTAGTTCAAATAAGTCATAACATATTAAATTTAATTTTCTCAATTTGTTCACAATACTACCTTATTTGTTCTTTTAAGGTAAATGAGTTTTTAAATTTGTCTACACTTTTATTGATGTAAAACCAATAAACAAACTATGCACTCAAAATTTTACTACAATAACCCAAAAGTAAATTGACATTGATATTTTGAATCAAATAAAGAATTTTATATTTAAAATAAGAGAAAGAAAAAAAAAATATGGTTCAAAACAATCCAACTATTTTGAGTTTTATATTTTTGTCGTATTTTCAAAACCCACTTGCATCAAAATAGGCAAACTTAGGGTAACTATTAAAATAGATTAAATGGTTGAACCAAATCACTTTCTTCACTAGATGATACTTTGACTAGTCCAACTATCTGAGTTTTCAAAACATTGCCAAAGAAGTTAGAGCTAGGTTTCATTATTTAGGCTTTTTTATAAATTCAGCCCCTAAGTAAGCAATGCCTAAATTAAGCTCAACCCAAATAAACCTGACCCATCCAAATTACCAAATTGTGTGACATCAAAGTCCTCTTCAATATTAGAACTTCAGTCATAAGGGTAGACTTAGCACTTATGCTACCACCAAATCCCCATTTAAACAAACACAAATGATCCCTACATACAATTCCAAGAACAGCATCTTTAGCATTGGACATAAATAGCCCATCACAATTGACATCACGCGCACTCGTTTTGCAATAGTAAATGAAAAGGTTTGAGCTATGCAAATGCAAGGAGAGCAATGTGACTAGTAGAATGAGAAGAAGGAGAAGCTATACCAAAGATGCAAGGCAAAGTTAGAGGATGATAAAAATACATAAGAAAATCTACGATGTGTAATTTTTCTATAGACAATGATTTAACTTTTTAATTTTTTTTTTGTTAGGAATCAACACCCTCTTGTTATAAATTAATGGCTAGATCCGCGATGTAGTGAACTATATTGAATTATTAATGCATTAAGACATAAAAAGGAGTTATCCAATTATGTGAAAAAAAAAAATTAAAGTATCGAATCAAAAGAGGAAAAGGCTCAACAAATGAAGAACCTCAAAGGACAAGAAAAAGGTAAAATGATTTGGATTTATTTGGTATGAAAACCTATTAAAACTATATAAAAAATTGTAGAAAATGTAAGACCGATAAATAAAATAAAAGATTTGGAGCAATAAAGTTGTTGTTAGAGGCAATAATACAAGCTAAACCTGATGGCTCAACCTAAATAAACTTAAAAAATCTTAAGATCAGGTTTGATAGATTGTAAAATTTCCTTTACTTTGAGCTATTTAGGCCCGACAAAATTCAACTCAAGCCTGAACTTAGCAAGTCTAGTCAAAATTAGAAAATCCTTCTTGGCTCAGCAGCCACTCCCTTCTTGTGCAACGGGAAGTAGCTAAGAGCAAATGCTGACTGTCTTCTTTGCTCAACAAATGGTGACCTTCATTCTTCTTTGCTTGGCAAACAGTGATGATCTTCGCTTGGCAATCCCACAGCCTCAAGCTTCAAATTGTTCAGTCTATCTTTGTCATGAGCATGAGCCCAGAAGGAGATACTACCCTACTATTTGTAAGAGGTTTGTTGCTCTCTGCTTGATGCATACTATTTTGGAGGAACTTGCCAAAATTTTGCAAAATGAAATGTTTGTATCTTGTCCTTGTGTTGGTTTAGGTGTTGAAGAAATTGCAGAGGGTGTGCAATGTCTTGCTTTTCCTTTTTATAGGCAAAGTAGTAGTTTTTCCATCACCTCGTGTTCAGCTTTGTTTAAGGCCACTTGCTGCAATTTTATCCAAACTTCCTCTACTAGTCCCGTTTGCCCGAAATGGTGATTAACCTCCTCCCTTCTATAAAATTGACTTGAGCTTGGGCCAAAAATTAGATTTCAGCCCAAACTCAGTAATACTTTGCTTTGAATTAGTCGATGATATGGAGTGCTAAAAAAAACCTCTAACATCTATGAATGTAAGAATACCTTGGATAAGCCTCAAAAGTTTTACCATAGTATGTAATACTCATGAATACTGCATGCCCTAAATAATGTACACTGATTTTGACAGGAGTTTCATTTTCCACTAGTGCCATACTACAAACGTTATTCCAAACAACCTTTCATCTATAAGACAATGGACTACCCCGTCAAAACCTTCATGATCAATATCAGAGAAGAAAACATACAAAAAATGGAAGAACAAAGAGATGACAACAATACTAACTATCAGCAGATGTATTATGTGATAGAACGTTCGATCGTGCTTTAGCTGCATCTTGTTTATCAAAAATCACTGTCAGCTGGAACTACCTTCAGTAATTTGCCAAGATCATAAGACTTGAAATTCTTCCCATAACATAAACTCAGATCCAATGCTGTTTTCCCATCCTGACATGCAATCACCCAATCAGAAAAGAATCCAATACCGGTCTCCATATTCACAAAAGTGCAAACATAAAGTATATTTATAAAAGATTAAATTATGGCGTGTGCGCTTCCCATATAGCCACATTCTTTTGTATCATTGTTTTTATTTTGATGTTAGAATAGGAGTGAAAATAATTCAACCATGAATCAATGTTAACCTCTAAAATTTCATGTCATTTCATCACATTTTCTTTAGATTTTCATTCATTTTCCTCATTTGTATATATTTTTATTACCCAAATTAGAAAAATGTACATTTTGCTTTAGGTTTGCATTCTTAGCTTTAATTTAATATTTTCAGCCTAATTTCTTGTTATTTTGGTTTAAGATTTGATTAAATGTATTTCTGGAGCTTTGTTGATGTTTTTGGAAGGCTTTTGGATGAAGAAATCAAGTGCAAAAAGAATAAATTTTATTAATTGCGAAAACAGTTCAAAAATGCCAAAGTCATCAGAAAGTCGTGACTTTCGCCGCTGTTAGAAAAACGCTGTGTTTAATTTATCAGAAATTGATTGGCTAGGACATATATATGCTAAAAGCTCAACCCAAAACGCATCCTACACACTCTTGAAGATACTTTGGGAGCTTTGTTGTGCTAGGGTTTAAGCTTTGGATGAGTTGAGTTCAAGAGTTGAAGCTTTGAAGGGATTTGAAGCTCCATTTCTTTGGTCCCTTTGCTTCTTCTCCATTTCTCTTCTTGTAATCTTATAATGACTATGAATATCTTGTGTATTTGTAGCTTTTTGATGTTTATGAATAGCTAAACTCTTTACTTTAGGATTATTTTGAACCCTTACAAGGATTAACATTATGTTCCTTCTCTTTTTTTGTGATTAATGATATATGTGTTTATTTTACTCTTTCCTTAATGCTTTTAAGTGATTGGCTATTATTTAGATGTTGGGTTCACTTAACTGATGCTTGAGAGGGTTAGGTTGATTATCGAACTTGGGTAAAATTATGCAAGAACTTGATATTTGTATGTTGAATAGATGATTTTGTTAGTAAGATAGAGATATACTAGCTAGCCTTGTATAGCCACATTAAGATTGGTGTTTAAAATTGAGTTTTATTAGTTGTAATAAGAGATTAGATCATAATTTAACTAAACACTTATTCATGACTTGAGAGAGCTCGTTCAAGTATTTTTAGAACCCTAATTAACACTTATTTTCATTAAAAGTATTTATGAGAGAAGGTAATTTCGGTGTTATAAAATGCAAGGAGGATAAATAATCCTAGGTTCTAATTTATATTTGAAGTGTGTGAATCAATTACTTTTCTTTATTTACTAGTATTAATTTAGTTTGCAAGATCAAATTTTTCTTTATTGTGTTTAGCTCAACTTGATCAAATTTGCTTAGTCTTTTGCTTAATCATTGTTTTTAAACAAATCCTCGAGAGAACGATACTTTACTCATTTTATATTACTTATTACGACCCGTGCACTTGCAGTGAACAACAATCAGTCCTAATGATACTCTATTCAAGTTGCATTTAATATGTGGAAAAAGGATTTGAAAAACAGGAAAAAGGGAAAGTACTTTAAGTTGTGTTTACTAGATGACAAAGTAACTTCTTTAAAGAAAAAGCTTCCCATATGCATGAGAGATAGATTTTTCATTCTCATTTCATACCAAATGGAACCCCCCCTCAATATATTTCAAATTTCTCATTGACCACCACAAATTTCTCACTGATGCACAACCCATATATAACATATTTTAAAAGGTATAGACATATTATATTTGATAAGTTGTATCAGAATAAAATTTTTAAAAAAGTGTCAATTTTTATTTAATATACTGAAACTAAAGTAATCACAACAAATAATCAAAAAAATAATTTTACAGCAAAATTTTCCCAACATGTACCAAACTAGATTCTACAACATTGAACAATGTTAAGAATAAATCTACATGATAGAAAGTATATAGGCATTTGTAGCATGTTTAAACTATAAGAACGGTCTAAACTCTAAAGTGGAATGTACAACAAAGTTACCTTATTTCTTCTGGTCTTATCTGCACCATTGACTAACAAAATTTTTGCAATATCTCTATTTCTGCTCTGAATAGCAACGTGCAATGGAGTCCAACCTTCCTGAAAATTAAAATGTATAAAAGCCATAAACAGTAAGTAGTCATGAATAATACCTGCAAGAATAAAAATTTAGATTTTTCTTTTAATCAAAGCTCACATGATCTGCAACATTGACATCAACTTTATATTTGATCAATAGCTTTACAGTTTGCTTGGCACCAACTTGAACTGCATAATGAAGTGGGGTAGCACCATCCTACTACAGCAATGACCATATCAATACTTATTCACTTTGAAAAGCAATCAGCAGCTTTGGAGGCTATGTCAAGACGTATCCTTACCTTATCCTTGACATGGGGACTTGCACCTTTCCGTAAAAGATGGCTTATTACAGCTTCTTTCTTTCCTATAATAGCTGTATGAAGTGCGGTCAGACCTTCCTGTTTGATCAAATAAGCAAAATTAAATCCATGCAAAAGCTGTTGCACACACTGACATGCTTGTAAACCAAAATATGAAGAAACTCACCTTGTTCTTAAGATCAATATCAACCCCACTTTCAAGAAGTTGATCCATGCATCTTATCTGTGTGGATAGTGCTAAAGTGTGCAGAGGGCTCCATTTTTCCTGAAGCAGGGAGATATGGGAACTTAACTGATTGAAAAAGCAACGTTCAACAAACAGCTTTCTTAAAGGAACTTGGAATAATCTAATCATGCTAAACACGCATTGACTAGCATGTAGACTTTCAAAAAAGTGTTCCTTATATAGGTTTCCAATTACAATGTAAATTAGAAGTTAGGAAAGTAGGCACCAATATGCATGGTTTCAGACATACAGTTGAGATTTTTCTCAAGTTAGGAGTCACATTCTGTTGCAAGACTGCTCTTTCTTCTGGCTCCAAAAGCTGTTCAACCTCTGCAATTGAAAATATGTGGTTTTAGAGGTGGACAGTTGTCAAGGGTCAAAATATATGCTAATTGGCAGCCTTCTTTAATCGTTTTCCTATACTTCAGAACATTCCATAATCTGGAACTTCACTTACACCATAATATATTGAAAGCAAGATGTCCAGGTCTGACTGCAAAAGAGGACTTAAAAAAAAAAAAATCATAGGAATAGAGAAAATGCCTTTTTTAATATCATTAATGGCTGATGTTGTAATCCCTTCCTCTTCCCAATCACTTTCAAAGCCATAGTTCTCATCTTCTGTTTGCTCATCTTCTTCGTCATCATCATACTCACTCCCACTGCCATCATCAGGTTCTTCCCAAGTTCCTTGTTGGACCTGCAAATGTGACAATCCTTGTCTATATTTAATTACCCCAGAAATCCTGAGTCTCCTGATTTTACAATAGTCTTCAGCAACAGAGAGACAGCACCTTCGTTGGCTCAGACTACTTATAAAACAGGCGCTGCTTTCGATATGAACAGAAGATTTGGTGCTTGCAGCAGACAATGGCATAGGCTGATTATTAAGAACAGATGATAGTGACCAATAACTCATCTCTGCAATCCAAGGAAAAGAAGTAAAGATCAGTAGAAAATAAAATAAAACGCAAAAAAAAAAATTACATATTCTTTTTCTACTAAATAACCTTTACCACCATAGGCAAACCTATATTACACTCATCTGCCCCCACTGAAATTTTTGAAATATGAATAGTTGTTATAACGTTCTTATAATTTTTGCTCCAGATACTTTGACGAAGATGCATTAGTAAGCCAATTGATTCACGCAACTCCTCCAAGCCATTGAAAAATGACAATTTAAACTCAAGCTTCTAAATTGTTAGACACATCAAAACTCAGAGCCAGGGGTCATTTACCAGATTACGCATCACAAATACCTTGAGAATTTTCTAAATAGATGATAATATAAAGAGATTAATAAACAGTATGCCAATACACGACAAATCGAACAATGCACAACAAAACATTTCAAAGCAAATAAGTCGCTAGTAATCGAAATGAAGGGGGCAGAAGTACAATAGCTGATTACACACCATTGAAGCAAGAACTAGTACTAAAAGTTTTTTCAAGAAAAAGTAAACTCAATCTCTATTCGAAAGTGTCAATATTAAAGTTAAATTAAAATGAATAATTTAAAACAAAGTAAGAAACAGTGCGACGGCGTCAGATACAGAGTTGACAATAACGCAGGTAAGAGATGACGACGCGAGGAATAAATTCAGAAATAGATTCAGAGCCAGATTGAACAAATCAATCTCACCAGTTTTTGGGAGCAGGCAAAGCCCTAGAGCTCGAACCTTCTACAATACTTGCCCGAGAACAGTCAGGCAGGGCCGACAACGACGGACGGCGAGCTCGACCAAGCGTGGAATGCTTGTTCGTCGACGAAGAGAAAATGAATCCTTGCTTCTCTCCGGATGAGAGGTTTATAATTAAATTTTTGGTTCGGCCACTTATTTTTGTTACGTACACCTTCGCATCTTCCATAGGCCTCACTTAATTTAAAATATAAATCATTAAGTAAATTTTATATTTCTTTTTTTAACTAAGTTCTATTTTATTTATTAATTTTTTAAAAAATTATTATAAAATTTTAAATTATCATTATCAATGTTCTTATATAAAATATTTAATAAGAATATAAATGAAAAGATATTAATATTTTTAAAAATTTTAAGGTTTCAATTAATATTGTTTGTAAATTAAGAATTGATTAACTATAACTTATATTGTAATCTCAAAAGAGGTATATTATGTGATTATTTCTTGTTAAACTTTAATATTATTATATATATATATATATATATAAATAGGGTTAAAAACTATTTAAATGCTTTGAATAGGCCTACTTAAATTCTTAAATTTGGCCTAAATTCATTTAATAAATAAGTTAGGTTGAACCAAAAGTAAATCAAAGATACGGGCTTGACCTATTTTCACCCAAATAATAAGTAATGATTTAAAAAAAGACAAAATTTATGTAATTAAACTTATATATTTAATATATTTATATCCAATCAAATCATGATAAGTAAATCTTAATATGTAAATAACAAGAATTTATTATAACATAAATGATTTGTAAAAGTTTACATGTCTTAATTTAATTAGAAATAAATATATTAATTATATAAAGTTAAGTATATAATAATACTGGAGCTTTGATTTGTTTCCTTTTTCACCATCTTCTCCTTAAAAGGGTTTCACACTTTCTTTTTTGAAGGATTTTTTGACTTAGTGACTCTTTGCTCTATTTTTATTCAAATTATTACTAATTAATAACAAAAATTTCACCCAAAAAATGGGCAATAATAACGAATAGTTCTTTTCCAATATATTATAAGTCTTAACAGTACTTTGCTAATATTAAATTAGCTCTCATATGTATAACACATACACTACTCTCACATGACTTAAAGAATGGAATTCGCACAAATTACCATGCATATAAATGATAGAATTGGTTAGCATGCGTGTCAGTGTTCATCACTATAATGAGATTTAAATTTTTATAATATGATTTAGATTGATCAAATTTAAAATTGTTAATTTATAATTTTAAAATGATTGATTTATGATATATACAGAAATAATGAATACTATGGGGAGGATGAAAAATGTGTTAGTATTTATGAATATTATTCAAAATACGGCTATATTTTGATAATACGAAAATAAAAGAAGGCTTGCATCTGCTTCACAAATATGTCAACGTATTTGAAAAGAGGGCAGCCCAAATTACATTAAAAAACTACATCAAGGGGCGATTGAAATGACTCAGAAACATGCAACATTTTGGGTCTATCAACTTGGGCTTAATACATTATCAACCCCAATAGATGTGAAGCTATGGTAAGTTTTTCTTAGATAGTACATTCCTATGATTCATTACTGCTTATTAAATAATGTGATTTTTCTTGTTAAAATTAAAGAAAATGTCTATCAAAATTGAATTCAACGTATGTTCACATGAAATTTAATATCGTGCGTGACAAGTTTTATATCTCCAAGATATTTTTTCAAAAAAAAAAAAGAGTCTATATATGCTTATAATGACTCCAACTATATAAATTTGACGCACAATTACTCGAGTTTAACATGGAATTTGAACCTGCTATTTTTTCCACAACATAAAAATTTCGACAGTGTCAAATATTAAAATGGGTATATATTCTAATTAAACATAATATCAAAAATTTAATGTGAAATATATGATAATAATGATACCTAATTAAGATATTATTAGGATTATACAAATGAGCTTTTTGTGTTAAAATCTGTGATTATTCTTAATTCATTGGTTCATAACACTACAATTAATTTCAGGCACAAGGCATAAAGTGGGATCATCTCCATTTGGGGAAGCATTTGCGAGAATTAGGGCTTGTTTGTTTTATGTGTTTAAAAATTGTTTTTATTTTTAAATACAAAAAAAATTAAAAAAATTTGTACAAGTGTTTTTATTTAGTTATTTTCAAAAAAATTCATTTTTTTGTTTTTAAAAACAAAAAATAGAAACAACTTACACAATTTTTTATTTAGTTATTTTCAAAAGTTGTTTCTATTTTTTGTTTTTAAAATACAGATTATTGAAATTATAGTTACTTTGGTCAATTTTTATTATTAATCACCATCATTAAATACTTATAATTATCACTATCAATCTATTTTTTAATTGACATAGCCAAGCAAATTTTTAGTTTTCTTTATTTTTAAAAATAATTTTAAAAACTATATTATACAACAGTTTTTGAAAATAAAAAGTGAGAACAGAAACCAAACTAACCTTTAATCTTCTTGCAAACAGAATTTTTTCCCCTCTCACATTTGGTTATGTTATTCCCATTTCTATCATGAGTTTGATTTTCATTGAAAATATAAGTTTATCATGCAAACAATATTTGCAGCTGAATTCTCTACTAGTAATATCAAGAATTTTTTGGACGGTTTGGTTCACATGAAATTATAGTCAGGAGAAGGAAAACAAAAAAGAAAGGGAAAAAGTATTAGAAGAATCTCACTAAAGGCCCTCAAAACAAGATATTTACAAAGAATGCTCAATAGAATCTAAATCTATTCTGCAAGTTAAAGGTTTTGATTGCAATTAAAATTAGAGTGAAATGACTTAAATGCCCCTCAACCTCTCTTTTTTTTAAAAATGTCACTGTCACCGATCGTTGGAGTCATCACACTTGCCGTCAGTGATCAAACCAGGTCAAATGCACTAGGGGGCCAAAGAAGAATTTAAACCCTCGATCCCTTGTTGTTCAAAAGAAATATCACCATTAAACCACCAAATACCTTTAATATAATACATATTATAACTTGTTTTATCATGGACTTCTTGTTGTCTATATCCATACAATTATTTATAAATATTCAAACACGAATTATTCATAATAAAAAAGAAGTTTTCAACTTTTTTAATTTTTAACATCTTATTCCTTTAATATTGACAAATTATCAATACTATGTTAAACAAAAAAATATGTTATAAACTTATTTTTCAAGCATCTCCATGGGCTTTGATGTTAATCATGGATACATTGTAACTTATATCCAAACAATAAATTATAAATTTTTGAACATAGCTTTTTCGTATATAAAAAAAGTTATCAATATTTAAAACCCAACTTGTTCAATTTTTTTACAATTTATTCTTTTAATATTGACAAGTTATCAATATTATGAAAAGATATGCTATAAATTTATTTTTGAAGAATTGTCATGAGTTTTGGTTAATCATGGACTTGTTGTGATTCATATCCAAACAATCATTTGTAAACACTCGAACATGACTTATATAAAAAAAGTTGTCAACTTTTAAAACCTAACTTCTTCAATTTTTTAACATGATGTTCTTCAATATTGATAAGTTGTCAATATTATACTAAATAATGTGTGTGTGTGTGTGTGTGTGTGTGTGTGTTAAAACTTTATTTTTTCAAGCATTTTCATAAGCTTCGATGTTGGCATTGTTGTTCATATTCAAACAATCAATCATAAATTTTTAGAAAAATTATGTATAGATCTTATGAAACAGACTTATTTACCAATAAATTCAAAAACCACAATCAGATCCTTGGGACCTGATTGTAATATGACATTAGGCTAAAAAAATAATATTACCCCTATTAATTATATATTATATCAATCAATAATTAATTTACAACTACTTCATCAATAATTTACTACTATAATTTTAATTTTTTGCAAATGTAACTTCACATATCTAATAGTTAAACAATCATATATTATTAACAAAGTTTAATATTAATTATTTACAACTACTTTATTAGTAATTTACAACTATAACTTTAATTTTTCACAATTATAACTTTATGTATTCAATAGTTAAACTGATTGATTTAATTATTAGATATATGAAGTTACAGTTGTAAAAAGTAAAAGTTATAGTTGTAATATCCTGATGAAGTAGTTGTAAATTATTTAACTAATATAATGTATATATATTTAATAGGAGCATTATTATCTTTTTATTTCAATTTCAAATTACACTCAGATCCCAACTCCTAAGGGCCTTAGTTGTGATTTCTAAATTTTATAAGACTTATTTGTAAATAAGTTTATTTTATGGGATTTATATGTAATTTTTTCTAAAGTTTTTAACATGGCTTGCTCATTCATGAAAAATGTTCAATTTTTAAAACCTAACTTGTTCAATTATTTTCACAACTTGTTCCTGAGGAAGTGAAGAGTTAGGCTAAAAGACTATAAATTAAGAGCTCTTATGAGGCAATCCAAGCTCTTAAACTTGCTTTGTGTGTCTAGTTCGATCTTTGTGTGTTTTTAGTATATTTATGTTTGGTCTTATTTTTGTAGGTTATGAAAGATCCTCAATGAAGAAAAGCATATGTTAAGGGTGCATGGAGGAAAAATCAAGAAGTTTGACGGGAAATAAACACTTTTTCAAAGTTGAACTTAAATTAAGCCTGTTTTGGTGATTGAAACTTGTTTTCTATGCTAAAAAGGATGTTGAAATTGCTTGATATCATGCCTTCTTGTTTTTGAATGGTATTATGGCTCTTGGATGGGTGAATTATTCATGCTATCAAATTGTGAGTTCTACATGATTCTAGATTTATATGAGCATAATTCATTGGTTGATTGTGAATTTGATGGACTTGGATTGCTTTTGAATGATTATGATAGTTACTGATGGCCATCTAGTGTTATTTTTTGTTAGAAGTGTGTTTTAGTAAAAGTTGGGTTCAAAAGAGCTAAAATTCCAATACTAATATAATTTTTGTATGCTATTGTGTCTTCTGTACCATGCGCCGCGAGCATGAGATAACTCGAAGATGAAGGATAAGCTCTCTATACTAAAAGCCGTGATGCATATCTTGCTTCCAAGGATGCACTCTCCATATCGAGAGTTGCAGCGCATGGTCTTCACGCCGTGGCACATAGTGC